AAAAAAAAAAAAAAAAAAAAAAAAAAAAAAAAAAAAAAAAAAAAAAAAAAAAAAAAATAAAAAAAAAAAAAAACGGGATATTTATTTAAAAAAACGAAACTTTTAGAAAATCAGAGTTTTTGATAAAAAGGCTGAAATTCGAGAGACAAAAAAAATCTCATCCCTGTGTAAAGGTCAACCAGTTTTATCCCAAGGAAATGACTTTTAGAGAAACTTCAGAGGGAGGAAAAGGAACTTCAATAATTTCCCTCCGCGGAAAATTAAATTCCTCATAAAACATTTTAACTTGTGCAAAAAAAATTTCAGCCGAAATTAGCGGAGAAAAAGGAAAAATTTGAAAAAAAGCGGAAATCCGCGAAAGAATCTCATCCCTGTAAATGCCATAAACACTTTTAACCATAGAAAATTTTAAAAAACTACAAAAAAAACGTTTAATTTATTATTTTTTTTTTATCTGAATTCATCGAATTCCTTAATTGCAAAATCCTGAATACGTAAGTATTAGTTGAAACTTAAGGGACAATTATTCATTAAAACTTAAATCCATTTCGATAAAATCAGCTGATCTGAGTCAGTTGCAAGGCTGTGATTCAAATCACCGAATCAATTCAGTGATTCAGCAAAATTACAAGGCGGCAGAGTTGAACATTAGCCGTCTTAAACCCAAAAAATTGGGTTTGCTGTTAGACGGTGGTTATAAAATAAAATACTTATAAAGATATTCATTGAAATTTATCAGCCTAATCTTTGGTATTGCTGATACTTAAAATTTGTATTAATTTCTGAATATAAATAGTCTCTGATTTAAAATGTCATATATTGATACATTAAATTTATTTATTTTGAATTCCGTCGATATGTATTTATCTTTAATGTGCTAATATTTATTAAACCTAAAGTTCAATGAAACAAAAGCAGGAATCAATGTTTCTGTGATAAAAGTGTTAATATTAAGTAATTTAATGCAGATAAATTGTTTTTAAACTAAAGACAATTGGCATAAAAATACACTCATAACTAAATTTACAACCCTAAAAGTAAAACAAGAATCGATTACACTTTTTAGACAACTGCCATTTTTTTCGTATTTAATAAATTAAATCTTTACAAAACTCTTAACTTACACATATATGAAAAATATAATTTTGATAAATTAAATTTTTTCCGAACAAAATACAAATAAACAGATCATTAAGTAAAATTGCATAAGAAAAAAATGAAATAAAACAGAAAGTGTTAAAAAATCCTACAAGCCATCACTGTTCCTTTTATTTATAAAATTTATTTACAAACATAACAAGCAATTTAATTATTTTTACATTGCTACTCATATGGGTTATGATAGACCCTTCTCAATTTTTCTTTTTTATTTCTATTGTTATGCTTTTTCCAAGGTTTACTCCCAGAGCCACCATCTTGACTTCCTATACTTCCTTTAGATTTCAAATGAGCCTAAAAAAGAATACTATTTATTTTAATTATAATAGAAAAATTAAATTAATAATTAAATATATAAAAATATAGCCAATGTTTGGATGGATTTTACTTCAATTAAATAGATCAAAATTATCTTAACTATTTATGATTTAAAAGCAGCCCTACTTAACATAATGGAAATATATTAATCAAAATGAAAAAACCTTTTTAAATTGATTTAAAAACTGTTCAATTTAACACTATAAAGAAGCACAATAATAAATGCAATTAAACTACGTTTTCGTAAAAAATTAGAAGAGTAATATCATTATACTTGTTAGCTTTAGTGCATGTAATAATTTTGAAATATAAACTAGATCATAAACTGTATTTAATAAGATGCAACATGCATACAATAAAAGAAATACCATAACAGCTAATATTTACAATTATCTGAACAAATTTCAATTGCCTTAAAAAATCTGACTGTGACCGAAAAATTTAACATACTTTACTGTTTTACAAGGCACACATCATTTTTAAAGCAATGACAGAAGAAAAAGTATGATTAAAAACAGAAAAAAATAACTAAAAAAAAAGATATCAAAAGAAGGTATTTTTTCTGATTCTTACTTGAGCAAAAAATTTCTTGTCTGCTGCACTTAGTGTTTCTTTTTTCTGAAAAAAAAATAAAATAAATATACACCATTGAAACACCAATTTAATGTACTAAAAATATAAATAACAAAAAAAAATCTTTTATATTCGAACTGCATGATAGTACACAAAATAGTAACTTTTGCATTAATGAATGCAAGGCATTACAATTTTAATTGTAATTTTTTTTTAATATTTAAAAAAATTTTTAGTTAAAAATAAATCCAACCTAGAAACACCAAACTAGTAGTAATTAGCCTAAATGTAACATATCTCAGCACCTTATAAACATAATTTTTTGCAATGATAAACAATATAGCTTTTAGAATTTTATAGCATTTGAAGATAAATTCATAGAGATGGAACTATTTTAAGAGTTTTGAGAATAACATAAACTAGCAAACATTCATGTCCATAGCCTAGGTGTTCAGATTAATCAATCAATGGGTCTACATATAAACACTGCATTTTCAATTGAAAAAGTTCATTGAAAGGGTGAAAATGGTGAGGCATTCATGAAGAGCAAGACAATATGAATTATGATTTTCAGCTGTTGAACTACAAATGCAGAAAGAAGTTCAAATTTCAATGAATAGATCCAGCACCCATCAAAGCAGTTTATTTTCCTGGATCATATTATTATTATTCAAAAGAATATTATTGATAGCAAGTAAAGAAATTTGGTTTTTCTGGCCTTGCCTTTATATGATGAATTGGAATGAATTATTCTCAGTCATTTATTTAGTCAATATGTAACACATTCTTGGAACTCGTTTAAGTTATAAAATTGATAACTAACAAATGAGGGTGGACCCCACATAACACTTATACCCCTAAAAGAAAAAGAAAGAAGCAGGGCCTTGAATAATTTATGGGCCATATGCATGATTTCAGAATTGTCCTTTGTTTATTTTAATTTTATTACTGATAAGAGTTTCTAAAAATCATGTATGTGCAGTGACTCTTTATAAGAACTAATTCATGTGTTTTGAACATTGCTTTGTGCATTCTTTTTTCAATAACATATGAACACTCCAGTTAAAAGTCTACTTGTGCCTATTTTATTTTAGCCAAGTTAAGCAAGGAATCATACATTAAAAAATTTTAATCTTTAATTCCTGCAGTGGACTGTTAAACATATTTCCCCTTCTTCCCTTTCTTTATTCATGAAAACTAATGTTTCGATTTCAAATGGACAAGAATAACTTAATAGTGATTTTTCTAAATACAAAATAACAAGTAATATTCAAAAATGTAATAGATAAAAATGCACAAAGGAAAAAACATTTTAAATTGTCTTTAAAAAAAAAACCAAAATAAAACATTGAATTTTTTATACTTCAAGGACTTCATTTTCTTTTGGAACATTCTGGTGCGAAATTTTCTTAGCTTTCATTTCAAACTTATGATAGTCTTCTTGTTTAATACCAGGAGGGGCGAAACAGTACAACAACTTCCCATTGATAAAATCCTTCAATATGTAACGTGCTGAACGGGCATTATCGGGAAGACCTCTTGATGTCATGTAACCTCTGCTATCTACATTAAAAGCCAATAAAAAAAATTTCAATAAAAATTATCACACACAAGACACTATAATTTTCCCTAAAAATACTTATAAACCATAGGTTTAAAAATGAAGCATGATAAAAATAAATCCATTATTACTATACATTTAACACAATAATAGAGTGCTTCCAGTTAAGTGATATAACGTGCAAAATACGGCAAAAATTGTATAGGAGGCACAATTTTCCATTGCAGAATGGTAAAAATAGTACGCCAGCAAATGTAGTCAAAATTATAACTAAACTTCAAATATGAATTAAAATTTCCTTTTTTGTTGTTGTTAATAACTAAAGGAGAAATTAAGGATACTTCTGAGTGTCCAATCACACCATTGCTTTTACTTTATGCGCATGTTTGATCAGCCCCAATCAAAAGTGTTGATTGTTCAAATAGAACTCTCTTCCTATTTAGAAATTCTTTGTTTTGTCTATCAAATGAAAAATGACTATGAATGTGCAAATTTATGGTTCGATAAAACAATAGAAAATTCATATTTTAAATAGGATTACTAAAAATTGGTCCTGCCTTTAGTAATAAAAGGTCAAGAAACATGGAAGCATAGTTTCTAAAGCATAGCTGAATTACTGATAGAATAATAACAGTGTATTAAGATATAGTAATACTTATAGATTACACTGGAATTTTAAGATTTATAATCTTAAAAAATAAGCAATTAAATTTGATTTTTACTTTTCTTAAAAATGAGTAGGGAAAAGTATTGTATATTGAATCACATACATTTTAAACCAGTGAAATTATTTATATCAACCTGAGAAGTATTTCCAAAGCATAGCTGAATCACTGATATAATTATAATACTTGTAAGAAAAAATAGCAATACAGTGAAATTGTATGATTTATAAAGACATACAAACAGAGATGATGATAACTGCAGCAGAGATGATGATAACTGTTGTCTTACCAAACCAACCTAAGCTTAAGTGGCCACCTGATCTGTGATAATTTTTAATTTCCGCTCGCAACAATGAGCAAGGGAGCGTTTGGTGGCAGAAAGTTTATTCGAGACAGTGAAGGACAAAGGATGTAAATTTGCTCGCTCAAGACTTAATTAAAAATTTTAACAATCATTATTTCTTATCTTAAGTAAACGAGCTTAATTTTATAACTCAGATAATCTCCTTTAAAGCATAAAATTATTGTAATTATATAGCTTTCCATATATGTTGCAATAAGCTCATCAAAGAAAATTGGTAATGTATCATTGTTTCAGTATTGACAACCTTATTCTCTAATCTCAGTGTAAACTTAGTTATTTTCATTAGAGCTCATCTCCACCACTAGTAAAGGTTGGAATATATGAAAATGAATATAATTACATTCTTCTTATTTTAAGTTTTGAGTATGATGATACAGCAGTAAACACACTTTGTAAAAGTTGTTTAGTAGAACAGGGTCAGCTTTTTTTTACTAAGATCAAGATAAGAAAATTTTTTTAAGAGAGTTGAATAGCAAAAGAAGAAAAGAAAAAAAAAACAGACATGCTTAATAAAACAGGTTGACGGAAGTTTTTGTGAATTGATATCTCTTCAGTTTTTAGAATAATACATTTATAGTACTTTATATAAGGTTTGTTCTGTACCAATTTAATGGGTTTCAATTCCAACCAATTAAATGTTTTAAGCTTAATTCGAAGTCAATAAAAAATTTATTCAATAACAGGGTTATTGAACACTCAGAAGCTAACCTAGAATTTTTAACTCAGTATCTATTTTTTACGAAAATGTTTAAAGTATCATAATTTTCTGAGTAAAAATGTGTTAAAAAATTTATTTTGATGGAAATATTTTTCTTTAAAATAAAAAGCTATTAAAATACTTGTTTACAACTTTTCACACAATGTTTACTTAACATGATTATTAGCAATTAAGAAAAATAACAATAGGTTGGGTATCTGTCATTGAACTTGCAAGTGTTCATGAGACTTTCGAAATATGGACACATATTGAATTATTTTTCTATAAAAGTGCCCAGAGTTTAACAAAAAATTTACAAATTTCGATTTTTTATTCTTTCTAAGGTGTTGATTTTGCTACAATAATTATGATTTTTGTGAAAGTAATGATAAATGGTAGCAAAATCCACCTGCATACTTTACCCTGATACTATACGTTGAAATACATATTCTGCAATAAGAACTAAATTTTATTGGTTCAAAAGTTTGCATAAAAAAGTCTTTTTACTTATTCATAGGCTCAGTACAGCTCAGAAATTTAAATTTAGCATTATTGAAATTTGAATCCCAAGCATATGTACTTACATCCATGAGCATTTAAAAATTCTTCTGCAGTTGGTATTGTGTCTCTTCCTTTTTCCCCAGTACTAGGAATCAACAGGGAATATGAAGATTCCAACAATTGACGAGGAATTAAATTAGTCACTTAAAATCAGTTAAAGAAAAATATACTACAACAAAATAAAACTTAATTTAGGCAATTCTATTTATTATATCTTCAGTAAGATGTTTAGAAAATTACAAGAAAAACTAATTTTTTAATGACAATGGAATTAAGACGATGGATAGTAAACTACAAATGAGGAAATTAATAGTGTTTTTATTATTTAAAACACAATGGATCTAAGATAAGTTTTTTTTTTATAGAAACTAAAATTAATTTTTTTTAAAAATTACTAATAAAAAGAGGCTTAATTTTTAAGATCACAGGAGATTGTACATAAATTGTTAAGTCTATGTAAGAAAACAGGAAAGTTTGTATCTATGTTATATGTCACGTAATCCAATATGGCTGAGTAAACCAAGCGGATTCTTTCATGAAATCATAAAAGCAAAATGATTGAAAGCAGTATTAAAACTAAAAAAATAAATTTGTATAAATTTTGATATTAAGAAAATTTCCAAGACTTTCACTCTCGAGAGCACAGGCTTGCTCCTTTGACTACCAGTCTTTTTAAATTCAATGTCTTTCCCTTAAGGAGAGAAAAGGGAAGTCAAAGCCAAAATACTAATGCTAGGAATTTTGAATTCGGCAAAAAACGAATGATGCAAAAGACAAATTTATTTTCATATCATCACACCAATAAGTGATTAAAACAATGCAAATTTTTTAGTTATATATCATATTTTACTATGTCCATACTGATGCAGCCTAAATGAAAAGTTCAGCATCAGTCACCAATGACTGACTGATATAGTACTCAAAACATGACTGTTTTTTTAAGGCTTTGCAGTCATATGAAATGATGCTCTTTTAAGAATATGTTATTTCTTATAACAGCAGTGAGTTTGCAACAGTTACTCATGAATGTTAGGTTAAGTTAGTTTATCTATAGCAATTGCTCTCTATGCTTATTCTGAAAAAAAGAGCAAAATGTCAATTTGCTGAAAAGCCACAATTTTGCAAAAATGAAAAACATTTGTGGTTTGTTGTGAAATTTTGTGATTTTTAAATAGTTTGATAACTTTAAAGCATTCAAGTTATTTGTTCATTGTAAAGCTCAGATAATTCTTCACAGTACGATGGTATATATAGTTTAAAAATATAATTATGCAGTGAAGCTTTTAAATTGTGGCTTTCTTTAAATTTTCCTTGGCGATAGAGCTTTGATAAACTATGTTAAAAAAATAATGTTATCAAAGAAAATTTTTAAAAAAAAATGAATTAAAATGTTTAATGATATAATTCAAAGCATTTCAGAAACTGTTAAATTAATAGTTTTTTTTAAATATACCTTAACAGTTAGCTCTATCATAGAAAACAGAGTAACCATTTAACTTACTTGCTATTAGCTAATATAAAATGTCCTTTCAAGATGAAAACATTTTTAAAAAATTATATGTATTTTATATATGAAAGAAGAATAAATGCTACTTGAAGTTTGAAAATTTTTTAAAGGATATCAGAGAAACAGGTTGATTCCATTCTGTTAGCTGATCAATTGGAAGTATACCATTGATAACCATCTCTGCTTTTGTGGACACGAAATTTGGAAAAACCAAGCCAGGACAATCACACAGACACAAATCTTCATCAATTATAAAAGTCTAGATAGAACATTAAATTAAAACATTTTTATTAAAATTAATACATTTCAATTAAGAGAAAACATGCAGGGATTGTTATGAGAAAAATGATGTATGAAAATAAATAAAAAATACTAACTACAGAAATGTCTTAAAAGTAACATGTTATATGAATAATAAACAAATTGCTGGTTGGTCACAGAATAAATAGATTTATACTTTTTGAAGAGATTCATATTTAGCAATTTTTATGATACTGGAGATCAAATTTTTAATTGTTATTGTTTCGAATAACACTTGGACGAGCCATCGGCCTTGTGAATGAAGATAAAGAGGGAAAGCATTTTGTTTGACAAGAGACACCGCTAGGGTGAAAGCAAGACTTAGCTCAGAAACCCTCAGGTAGGAGGCAGTACCACTCTTTCGTGAAGTCACTTCCACAATTTAGACATAGGAAAGTTTATTGAAAAAAATTGTTAAAAAAGTTAACATAAGCACATCAAGAATAAGTAATGGAAAAATTATAATTTCTTTCATAATTAAAGCAAACAACTCGTGTACAAAACTAGAGACATTTTGACACAAAAAATTAACTAAGTAAAAGGCAATTTAATGAAGATAAAAAAATATTTGGATGAAAGGAGAGGTATTTTGGGAAAAAAATTACACCCTTTCATATCATATGGTTTTATAAAACATGTACTGAACTGATCTGATCATAACAGCAGCTATTATAACATTTTTGGTACTTTTCCCCTAATTTTAAATAACTTGAATTTGAGTTAAACAAAATTAGCTAAAAAGCTAAAATAAAAACAATCAATATAACAATATAATTTAAAAATAATAAGAGAATTTTCAAAAGCTTTCACATGATGAAATATTATGTTTAATGTCAACAAATTTTCCGTTTTTTTAATCCATATAAAAGTATTATAAAAATGTCTTGGTGAAGATCAGGTTATAACCATGACATATAAAAAAAAGATTTTGCTAATTTAAAACGATGTTAATTTTTGCAAAACATAATAATTGATAATCTAATTCATTTTAACAATGAAAAAACAAGCTTTAACACTTTTGAAAGTAAAGGTAGATTTGAAACCAAATCAATAAAAATAAATTGAAGCACTTTGAAAAAATGAACAGTATCAAGCAAGAAAATATATTTCCTTTTAGATATGTCAGCAAATAAATTATACATTTACATGATTAGGTTAATAACAGAATTAAATTCAACGGTACTGAATGTCTTTGGATACAATGAGTTAGAATATGTTTTTAGAAAAAATAAAGAATAAATAATTTAAATTTATTTAAAAAAAATTTGAATAGAACTTTTTATAGTATTCAAGCAAGGATGTTTAAAATTCAATGATAAATTGTGCATAATTTGTATAAAATAGAACTCAAATATAATAAGCTTTATTCAGTGAGATTCCTGATTTAATAAGTCAAATAGTAAGTTTCTTTTGGTACAACAGGTTCATTTTGCACAGTATTGTAGAGAAACAAAATTGTTACATTTGGGGGGGGGGATTTAAGGAGAAAAATAATTTTGGAAGCATGAAATTATATAGGAAAGGGTGAAAAAACTATAAAAAAAATTCATAGTGCACTATCACTTGTTTAAAATTATTGAAAGTATTTTGGAACATAATTATTGTCATTTGGAAATAATTAAATCATTTTCAAAGTTATTGACAGTAGGTGCAACCCTTCAGAAAAAGAAGGAATTCAAACCAGAGTCGACACCAATTTAGCCTTCCGTATTGGTTCCAGAAAATAAGGAAAGAAATTTTAGGGTGTTTTAATAACATTAGAGAAGCACTTGTGGAGTTGCAGAATCGTAAGCGATTTCAGAGTCACATGTAAGAAAAACTCATTCTCAGTCCTTGACATTTCATGAAATCATATTTTTTGTTCAGCTGTTTAAAATGTAAAAATTTTGAACCATTAAAAAAAAAATGCTAAAATTATAATACTCTTAGACAAAGGAGACAAAATGTTGCTATATATAAATAAAATTTGTAAAATTATGCTATTCAAACAAGTTGTGTTTTGTGTTTAAATTTTTTCTTTTTGTTCCAAGCTTGAATTTGGATTTAACGAGTAACTGGGTTTAACCAGCGTTATTCCATTTCCTGAATCACATATATGAGATTTATATTATTTTAGATAACAAGTCAAATCTGAGTTCAAGGATAGAACAAAAATAAAATTAAACTAAAAAAAGAACTTACAAAAATTGCATAATTTTACAAATCTTAATTACGTGTTGCAACATTTTTCTCGTTTACCTAGGAGTACTATTATTAAAAAAAAAATTTTTTTACGGTTAAAACTTTATATATTTTAAATAGCTAAAAAACTGGTAATGACTCTGAAACCCGCAATGATTCTAAAACTACACTGGTCCTTATCAGATGATATTGAAACTTCCTCAAAGATAAATTAATAAAATTAAGAAAATATAACATACCTTGTAAAATATTAGAAATTAGTTAACATTGATGAAAAAGAAACTGTACCTGAAAATGTTTAGTTTTACCAGGAGTAGCAGACACAGATACTTTTTTGCTCATCAGGATGGCGTTAATTGTGCTACTCTTACCAACATTAGGATAACCAACCTAAATAAAGAAGATCATCAATTTGACTGCATAAGTTTACTTTATTTTAAAAATAAATGGAAATTAAAATATTTTAATTTAAAAAATTTGTTTAAAGATTTTTGTTTTTACATTGGGAATTGCAAAGAAACCTTTTCTAATATCAACTAAATTTGGGATGAACACTGCTACCTACTCACACTAAACTAAATTTTTCATGTGGTATATTATTGAAAACTCTAATAAATAGGGACATCTGATAAGCATAAAATCTCTATAATCTATGAATTTGTTTAAATATTTTTTTTCTACTAAAATGGAATAGTACCAAATAGTCAATTTTAGCAATAACAGGGTGGCCACTCGAATCAGATTTCAAATTTCCCTGATTTTTCCAGGTTTTCCAGATAAAAATCTTAAAATTTACAGGTTTTATCCCTCTTTATC